CTTCTTTCGGAATTTCTTGGTCTTCGCGTCCTCGTCATCACTGACAACCTCTCCACGACGCCTTGCCTCCAGTTTCGACTGTTCCGTCTTCTCCTTGAAACCCTTGAATGCGATACCCATCTTCTGCGGTCGTAGCTTGCTCTCGACTGGCGTGACGATACCTTCTCCAGCGGCACCCAAACCAGTTCCGGCCTGCCAACCCATTCTTGACAACATACGCGCACCGAAGGAACCTTGGAGTTTGCTAAAATGGGCAGCCTCTGGGGCGCTGAGAGGCACTGCAGGTTTCGAAGAGGGCGTTCCATTGCGAACAAAAGAGCGTTTGCCGAACACGGAGGGTAGGTCTTCAGTAGGTTCCGGGGTAGAGGTAGTCGTAGAAGTCGTAGTCCGAGCGCCAATTCCACCTTTTGACGGAGCACCAAAAGAACCTATTCCACCTTTTGAACTTGAGGAACCAATGCCGCCCTTGAAAATCGGTTGCTCGGTTGGTACCTTTGAGGCTCCTAGACCTATGCCACCCATCCCTGGTCTCTCTGGTTCGTCCTCCTCATCCTCGCGTACACGTGGAGACGGTGGCCTAGATTCATAGTCGTCAGAATCCCCGGAACCTCCATCGTCCTCTTCACTCTCGTCGCCCTCAGAATCCATGTCGCGACCAACAGCCGCATCTTTATCCAAATGTTCATCATCATCCAAATCCATGTCCATCTCCTTGTCAAGGTCTACCTTTTTATCGCCTGAAACGAAGGCAGGTGCTTTTGTCCAGTCACTTTTCTTCGGCTTTCCAGCTGGTCCCCTCCCCTTCGGCCCCCGACCCTCATCCTCGCTGTCCTCTCCAAATATCCCATAGAGAGCATCCTCCTTCGCGTTCTTTCCGTCTCCGTTTGTGTTGGTAGGGATTCTCGAATAGCTCGCGTTCCTCACGAGCTGTAGGGTCGGTTTCCACATCGAAGTCGACGTCAGACCCGTTAGAGGAATCCGAGTCATCATCATCAAGCATTCGCTTTCTGCGAGCCATTCTAAACGGCCAGCTGGCTTGTAGATGGCTGTATGAGTTTAAAGTTAGACCATAATGACTCTCTCATGTGATCACGCGCCTTGCGCACGGCGCCGTGACCCGTGCTCGGAATAACTCAGCGTTGCCCATCCCCATTGCCCTCCATTGCCACGCGGTTTTCGCTCAGGTACATACTCGCTCGTTCGTGAGAGCACCAGGTACAAGTTCTGTGGTACATATCTCCCCGAACTTCTAAGCCCGCTTTCCGCTGGCATGAACAATTACATGGGAATTCGAACCCAGCTACATCGAGGTCCACCATGAACTGTCAAGCTCGTAGTATTGTCCGAGCCTTGGCCAAAGGACTGCGTGCCATTTGGAACAATAGGTTCAATTGACGATTCACAGGATTCTCGTTTGGTTCCGTCAATGCCGTGCAAGTATCGTGCCTGTCGAGTGCTCCGAATCAGATCTGATCATGATGGGCCCTAAAATCAGGCTCGGCATGCCAGATGGAGCTCGCCGACCTCAGAATCTCAGCCTTCTGTTGGTTGACCATCCCAATTGTACCCCTGACCGCGCAACAACAACCGTGTGCGCGTTATAAAGCGGTTGAATGCTGCCTGAACCATTGTTATCAAGGCGTTTCGCATTCCTCGTCTCTCAGCGATGACACTCACGACCTGGCCACGACGCGTCCTGGCTGGCGCGTTTGTACTTTTGGTTCATGCCCAGACCGCCGCTTCCCAACTTCCTAGCAGTTTCCCTCACAATTACCCCGGTCAACCTACTGGAGACTTTGGCCCAGCATGGCAGCGTTGTATGTCGATTCAAATTTCGAGTAGGATACCCTGCCACTGACTTGATTGCTTCAGATTTTGAAGTCACCCAAAGCTTGCCGAATGTTACATTCGATACGGGGCGCAGCTACGCCGGAAATCTTCCTGTTCAGCGTCCAGGACACCCGAACGATACCCTCTTCTTCGTAGGCTATGAGAAATTTCCAGGTTCACTCACTACGATGGCACCGGCCAACGGCAACCAGCCATGGGGTATCTGGTTGAATGGAGGGTACGCGTATCTAAACGATGATGTTCGGGACTTCGAAACTGACTGATTTTTTGCTCGTACAGTCCTGGATCTTCTAGTATGTATGGAATGCTATTCGAGGTATGTCCCGCATTCCGTTCATGTCAAATGTCATGAAACCGGTCTTTAGAATGGGCCTATAAGGATTCAACCCGACTACCGGGTTACTTCGAATCCATACAATTGGAACAAGTTAGCGGATTACTTCTGGATTGATCAACCAGTGTAGGTGCCCTTTTCGATCAAATAGCCTGGATGCTATTTCGTATCTAACCTTTTTCTCCAGAGGCGTCGGTTACTCCACGGCGGATGCGGATGGTTATGGTGAGTCTCCACATGTTTTCTTGAAACGTACTTTTGATTGAAAGCCACATAGTTGCTGACGAGGATCAAGTGGGAGCTGACTTCGTAAGATTCTCTTGCCTTCGGAATTTACGATGCTCAATGGATCTTGTAGATGGGATTTCTGACGAACCTTGTCAAAGTCTTTCCCAGTCTTGCGACCCGTCCTCTCCATCTTACTGGCGAGAGCTATGCTGGCTACTACATTGTAAGCCCTTCAGAGAGAGATTTCGAACTTTGGTTAATCATTCTTTCGCAGCCATACATAATGAAAGCCTATTTCGGAATGAAGAACCCTCCAGTCAAGATCGCTAAGATTGCCATCGGGGATGGTTCGATTACGTCTGGACAAGTCTTCGAACTCCTCCCTGCTGTAAAGATCCGGACCTTCCTTGGACTTTCTATCCTTCACTGACTTCATCGCAGCTCACTGTTATCGAAACTCATCCACAACTAATTGGCTACGATCAAGAAGTGTACAAATATTTCAAAGAACAGTGAGTCGCGCTATTCAGTGCACTTCAAGTTCAGTTCCACATGGTTCCTTTCGTCGCAGAACTAAACTATGCCATTACGACGTTAATCTCACTTATCCGCAAGACGGAGCAATACCCCCCGTACCCCTCGTCCTACCCTCGCAACGCAATGTCCCATTCTTCCTACGGAACTCGCTATCCCACCACGGCTTCATGGCCGAATTGGATAAAAGGTACTCGGGTCAAAAACGCACACTTCAAACACGCGAGCGCCACCGCAATCTCGCTGCGTGGAAGAGGGACTTTTTAACTGACAGGCCAAGCGGTGTTCTCGACCCCTGGGTAAGTCTCACGCTGAAATCTGCTTGAATTGGAGTTGACAAAGGGACAGTATGGATGCTTGTTACTTGATATGTTTATCGACTATGCTATCAATTACACATACCCGTGGAGTGGGTACTCCTCATTCACTTCTCTCCAAACCAACTCATCTCAACTTCCTAGGTTTGAGCAAGAATACGGATACCTTCGGATTCAATGTATGCGCCTGTGATTCTTCTTGATGGACCATGCTAATACGTAGACAATCAAGGTGTACGATGTAACGGACGCTACGAACCCACAGATCAACCAAGACGCGAGCGTCTTCCTAAACGGTAAGTCATCGAGGATCCCTAGAAGCTGAAGGTTTTTTCAACATCGGAATACTAGATCCACGCACCAGGGACGCCCTCCATGCACCCAAGAGCAAGTCATGGGCAGCAAACTTCGATTTTGTTTTCGGAAACCCAGACGGTAACAGTCAGTCTTTTCATCCAGTGACTTCAGCGAAGAAGTATTGATTCCTTCTCCGATAGATGTCGATCCCAGTGAGTACTCACAGTCACGCGCGCATTCTTCGTAGCTGACAATGTCCGCTGAACTTGCTAGGTACCGAGTCCGTATACCATTTCTAACATTGCCTGCCGACCTAGCTCTAACCTTCCTGCCAGACCTATGAATTGGTTCACTGAATTTGCAACTAATGCAACGGCCCGTGGTGTGGGCGTCGTGCTTTACTCAGGGAATAACGACGCTCTCATTGCACATAGAAGCACAGAAAGTTTGTTCATTGTGCATACTTCTTCCAATTGCGACGTGCTGATACCCTGCATATCTCTAGTTGCCATCCAGAATACAACCTTTGGCGGTGTTCGAGGGTTCACCGTCAAGCCGTCGACACCATGGTACAACGACGCTCGCCAATTTGCAGGGACAGTCCGCCAAGAGCGGAACTGGACTTATGTTCTCTTCGATGGCGCAGGACATCTCGTCCCCGGCGATCGGCCCCAGTCGGTATGTCTGCACGCCAATTCGTCATGGAACAATAACATCTAATGCATCTCTTAGGCATTCACCTTCCTTCGCGAATTTGTCCTCGGGAAGAACCAAACCGGCTTGGTGACAAAGACAGCAAACGGCAAGGTTGTGGTGGTCGGCGGCACTGATGCTACGTTGGCACAAGACGTCCTGCCCGGCGGCGACGAGATTTATTACGGTGCTGGGACAAAGGCCTCAACTTACATCTTCCCTTCCGCGACACGCGCAGCCTGGAGCTCGTTCATTCGCACCGCGACAGAGACGGCTGTCTCTACATCTGCGGCTGGGGTATGAAAACCCAGCTTTTCTACTTGGGATTTTTGGGGATAGAGGATCAAAGTTCATGAGGTTTGCTCAACGACAATGACCGGTGACTATATACGACGGTATTCCAGACGGTAGCCTGCCATGGTTGATCCATATGCGGCGTTTATTTAATTAAATTTATGACCTAATATATTGTGTGCTCAGCGCTCAAGGATCGACGTAACAGACTGGGTTTGACTCTAGAATCGGGTTCGTATAATTCGACTAGACCATTAGGCCCAGATTAGGCCTTACATGGATTGTTTCGATGCTGCCCCACCAGCCGAGAATCAAGGGGAGGCAGCAGGAATATCAAGATAAGTTTGAACCCCAAGCTGGGGAAGACTCAGAACCAAAAAAAGGTAGGAGCTTGAAGCATCGTGTGTACATGTGGACGTCAGCTTCAGGGTAGAACAAGAAAAAATGAAAGCGGGCCTGACTGGGAATTGAACCCAGGACCTCCTCGAAAATCGTGCCGTAACACCCTAACAAGGAATCATACTACTAGACCATCAGGCCGATATCAGTTCTTCTATTCTTCGTTTCAGATCCACGAGTGAGATCACGAAACGCGTCCAGCTTACGCGTCTCCGAACATAGACGACTTGGACTTAACTCACACCATGGACGCACAACCCTCAACATCTTCTGGTGATATTGATCAGCGCAGGAAAGATGCTCTCAAAGCCTATCGAGAGGTGAGCTGCCCCCTAGCTCCAAATGATGTCTTTGATTGACACCCAGAGTGTAGAAAATGCGGAATCATGAAGCAAGTAGTGAAAGCCTCAAGAATCGTATGTATCTGCTTACTTCGTCTTCCATGCATTCTCACCCACGAATGTTGCATAGTCAGATTCTCTATAAAAGATCTAGAGAAAGACTACGAGAAGACCGAGGAGGACATTAAAGCGGTACAGTCCGTCGGTCAAATCATTGGGGAGGTTATGAAGCAGCTGGATGACGAAAGATGTGCGCTCTATTAAAGGATGTTTTGCTTTCAGGACTGACGAAGCCTGTATTCCAGTCATTGTGAAAGCTTCATCCGGACCGCGCTACGTTGTTTCATACCGTCCCGCTCTCCCTGTGGCCAAACTGAAATCCGGGACCCGCGTCTCACTCGATATGACCACGTTGACAATAATGCGTATACTCCCACGAGAGGTCGATCCTATGGTGTATAAGATGAGCTTGGAGGATCCTGGAGGAGCATCTTTCGCTGGTATCGGTGGGCTGGGGGAGCAAGTTCGGGAACTCCGCGAGGTATACCCTGCTACTTCATTACGCTTCATTCCATCACTTACGGCTCGATTTTGTAGATCATCGAGCTGCCACTACTTAATCCAGAACTATTCCTCCGGGTTGGCATCAAGCCTCCAAAAGGTGTCCTGCTATACGGCCCTCCAGGAACGGGGAAGACGCTTCTAGCACGAGCTGTTGCTGCCACCCTTCACACCAACTTCCTAAAGGTTGTTTCCTCGGCAATCGTTGACAAGTATATTGGTGAGAGTGCGCGTGTCGTCCGGGAAATGTTCGGATACGCCAAAGATCATGAACCTTGTGTGATTTTCATGGACGAAATCGATGCTATCGGTGGACGTCGGTTCTCCGAGGGAACGAGTGCTGATCGTGAGATTCAGCGGACGTTGATGGAGGTAGGTCCAATTCACGCTGTACTAGTCGAGTTCTAGTCGAGCTCACGACTTGTCAGCTTTTGAACCAAATGGATGGGTTCGATTCACTGGGCAAGACCAAAATTATTATGGCAACAAATCGACCGGATACACTGGACCCTGCTCTCCTCCGTCCTGGTCGTCTAGATCGCAAAATTGAGGTCCCCTTGCCCAATGAGCAAGCCCGGTTAGAGATTCTCAAAATCCATGCTGCGCCTGTCAACAAAGGCGGCGACATTGACTACGAGGCGATCGTCAAAGTACGGCATCTCTAATATTCGCTCAATCTTCGGCTGATACATGTCGCCTCTTAGCTTTCCGACTCCTTCAATGGCGCAGATTTGCGGAACGTTGTGACGGAAGCAGGCATGTTCGCAATCCGGGATGACAGGCAAGTTTCTTTCGAATCAAGGAAAAGAACTGCCTAATGTCGTTCACTGCAGGGAGTACGTTAACCAAGAGGATTTGACCAAGGCTGCCCGGAAGGTCGGCGAGGCCAAAAAACACGAGAGTAAGCTTTAAATTCAGCTGTGGCCACACCCACCACCTGACGAGTCACTACAGCCAAGATGGAGTACACAACTTAGAGTTATGACCGAGGCCTTGTACATTTTATACCTTTGACGTTCATGCAATTCATGATAATGCAATTCTGCGCCCATCAAGACGTTGAAGTGATGGATTGACCAAAGGTAAAAATGACTTAAATTACATCCGTGTAGAAAGTGAAACGCAAACAAAAATTAGAATAATCTTAGAACCTGAACAACCCGCCCTTCTTCTTTTTCTTCTCTTCCTTCATCGACGGCGTCGTGGCGGTCGAGTTCACGGATGATGCGAAAGAGTTGGTTGGAGACATCTTTGGTGCTTGGCGTTCGCGTGGAACGGGGAGTGATGCAGGTGCGGCTCGTTGTGGTGGGGGTGCATCCTTGGTATAATATTTCTCGTCGTAAGCCTCTTGGTAGGACCGCTGTCCTGGTCTGTCGCGAAGTCCATTAGGCAGTGCGTGCGACCCAACACCACCGAGCTCGAGCGCTTTCATATCATCAACAAAGCGAAATGGAGTAAGCATATGGGTTGAACCTGAAGTTGAAGTAGTGAGTTGGAAACTCTAGTAGAAAGAGATTGATTATACCGATATAAACGTCCTTGTTCAACGCGCTAGAGAGTTGGTAGCCCTCCCTCAACTCAGAGTAAGTCGCTCCACCAGCAATGAACACAATGAGACGCTGTCGTGTTTCCGTCTGCGCCGCGCCTGGCCTCGGGGCTCTATGCCAAGATGGCTTCTGGCTACGAAGTGACGTTGCTTGTGGAGGAGGAGATCGCAGACTTGCAGCAAGAGGTGCAGCGGACGGAGCCTCCTTCGCGTAGGGAAAGAGGGTATTATCCAGTTTACCAGCGACATGTTCCTAAGCAAGACAAATTAGCAGTAGCTTTGGGTCGGAGGAGAACATTAGTACCTCGAGGACAGCTTTCAGCAACGGCTTGAAGCGCGACAATTCGTATTCTTCGTCATTGTTCGACTTTTGCTTGATTTTCTTCTTACTATCGCGATCGGAAGCCAGCTAGAAGCATACATCACCTCGATGCTCCAAGGGAATTTGAGAGAGTTCTTACCCTGTTGATTCGAACACCGAAGAGGGCTAGCGCATTGACGGCATCCTGCTCTGCCAAGGTCAATCGTGCATGCTGATAAAGTCTCCGGCGATCCTCCTCCGGGACGCCATCGCGGTGTTGGATGTATAGTGCTACGATGCGAACTTTGTTGATATTTCTAGAAAGAAAGTCGGTAAGATGAGACTATTAACATGCCGCGAGACTCAACACTCACACAACTTCTCGACTGTCGAGAAGTGGCACCATTTCCTCTACCAAGTTTTTCGGTGTCTTACCTTCCGCAGTTAGACCAGTTGCGCAATTCTGGGAGATCGATATAGACATGAAGGAGTCTAGGGATAAGCAAGAAGCCCACCTGTTCAACATTCGCAACCAATGGCAGCTTGTCGCGTTCAAATATGGCCATACACTCTTGCGCCATGTTTAGATGTAAAGAGAACTGGTGATACGATTGTAAACCATGTCATATAAGATGGTTGTCATGTGCTCTCACCTTCTCTCTTTGTTCCTGATATTGTGGCAGACTTGCGAGCATCTCTTTCATATCGTTCAGACTTGCAGCACCCTCTCTACAGATGATAGCTTGTTCATACAAGCCTTAAAATAATGGAACGATTGACGTACCCCTTAAACACAGCATTCTCTTGCAAGAATTTGTTGAAATCCAACATAAGCTTATCAATTGCTTCTCGCATGTGCATATGCCGAACCTCCGTCCAGATCGTGTCAGAGTCAATGAGGGTTGCAGTCTTATCTTCATATGCACCAATGGATGACTGGAATTTGTACCTACAAATCTGGTCAGGTAGGGAGTGACAAATCAGAGTAGGGGCTAACGTGTATTTTGTCCCATTCTCGATGGGCAAAAGATCATTAGCCATTGCTTGATACGTGAATTCGTGAAGGAAGGGTGCGAGCATGTCCATTGACCGATCGGTAATAAACAGCGTGGCTCTCGGCCGTGCGGCTTCTGGGCTTGAAGGCGGGTATTTCTTGACAGATGTTAGTACGCAGGTTATATGTGTAAGAAATGCCCGGTAACGTACGGCGAAGTCTGGATTCTGTTTCTTGTGCTCTTCGAGGTTATGCTGCACCATGAATGCAAGTAACTTCGTCAAATGATCACCTTCCACAGACTCATAAGCCCTCGCTTCTGAACCGCGGGCCAGGTTGGTACGCCATCGGGCGCTGTTCTCTGGAGGTGGCGGTGGGCGAGTTTCGGCGTGAGGTTTGAGAGCACCCAAAGGGGGATGATGTGATGGCACATAGTACCGGATGAAAGGAAACTCGTTCAGGGTGATACAAACGTTAGTTATCTTGCCTCAAGAGAGTGAGCGTTAGAGCCATCCATGATGAACCTGACACTCACCGTCTTGCTAACGAACCGAAGGTCCTCCTCTATCCGGATACGCGCCAATTTGAACGCCGTATCGCTTCGTGGAGGGCTATACAAGCTGAAGAACAATGCCGGATCTTGAAGCGAGAATGCTTGCGCCTCGGTTGCTGGAGACCGCGTCAGGAAGGACGAACACGTCGCGGGCGATGAACGCACCCCAGAAATTCAAGAACACTTCTCTCAAGCCCCGTAGGAATGGCTCAGCGGGTGAAGACGTCAGTCTCTCAAACAGGTGTTCATCCAACCCTTACGTGACATGAGATCTAGCAGCAATTAAACAGGGTGACTACATACCTTCCATGAAGAACAGATGAGCCCCGGCATATTGCTTGACCGCCCCTGAGAAGTCCTTGATTATCCGGTCAACGTTTTGAGATGTGGGCATCAACAGGTATATCGCCTCGAAGCCAGGCTGTGGATCGCGATTGTTGGAGATTGACTCTATCACTGCAGAGCGTCAGGTGCGAGCGGGGAGGTCTCGAGGCGAACTGGATCATACATGTAACATTCTCCTCCAAGATATCGAACTGCTTGAGCACTGAGCCCAGCAATTTCTGAGAGAACTCGTCCACAACTAATATCTTCCACCTCCCGGGCGGGTTGACTGATCGAATGGCTTCCAGAAACTCTGTAGAGGTGTAAGAACCAAATGGGTGGGACATCCATAGTTACACACTATTTCTGACGATGGTGATCAAAGACGACATGACGGATGCAGCGACGCCGCAGCAAGCACGGCTATGGCGAGTTTCAGATGACTGCTTGGAAACTGGTAATTAGGTATGGCCAACTACGGCGATGTCCGATCTTATCATGCGGTAGCAGTGGCGTACTTC